CTCTCACACACACACACACACACACACACACACACATACTGATCATTGCTGTATGTTGTTGTTATCGAGAAACACAACCAATGCATTCAAATGTTTTAGACGCAAACTTAAGAGTAATCATTTAATAGTTTAAAGTGACATTTGTTTTACTCTCTTTTTAAATGTGGTATTGTTTTTTTTTTTTAAATTAATTAACATCGGAAGTCTCTTTAAATTTTAAAACTTAAATTAGACAAACATTTTTCATTCTTTGTCACGTAACATGGAACTATATTTGTATTATATTTTTGGTAACACTTTAGAATAGGGAACACTTATTCTTAACTACGAGTTTTAGACGCAAACTTAAGAGTAATCATTTAATAGTTTAAAGTGACATTTGTTTTACTCTCTTTTTAAATGTGGTATTGTTTTTTTTTTTTAAATTAATTAACATCGGAAGTCTCTTTAAATTTTAAAACTTAAATTAGACAAACATTTTTCATTCTTTGTCACGTAACATGGAACTATATTTGTATTATATTTTTGGTAACACTTTAGAATAGGGAACACTTATTCACTATTAACTACGACTTTTCCCTTAATAAATTCCTAATTTGCTGCTTATTAATAGTTAGTAAGGTAGTTGTTAAGTTTAGGTATGGGTAGGATTAGGGATGTCGAATAAGGCATTAATATGTACTTAATTAGTACTAATAAATCGCTAATATTCTAGTAATATGCGTGCTAATAAGCAACTAGCTAAGAGACCCTAAAATAAAGTGTTACCATATTTTTTAGAAAATAGTTTATATGAATGGTTCATATGTTGGTGACACTTTATAATAAGTATAGAGTAACGAAATTATTTGCAAACTATTATATTATTGATAATTCATCGTTTATAGACTGTAGTCTCTACATTGTTAATACATTAATATGCTATGTACAAATAGTGAGTTCTTCATTCATTGTCACAATAGTTAACAAATGATTATTGTTTAATCGGCTCATATGTAAAGAGTTCTGTAATGTTTTATTATCGTTTGTTAAGAACTTGTTAAGCATACCTAAGTGATGTACAGTATTTAAACCAGTAGTAAAGGAGTTGTTAATGATTATCAGGAGTAAATAATTCTCACTTTAGATTAGGTCACAGAAAATACGAAATTAAAGGCAATAACCTGCCTTTATTAGACATTAATTGCATTAATACCAAGTGTTCCTACACTGTTTACAAATACATTTACAAATACAAACATAAATGTGTATGAGTTCATTTTACACATTACACATAAAGTTCTTTACTATAAACTAATAACTTTATGATGTTTTTGTGAAGGTTATTTATTTATTTTTCTCGTAACCCTACCTCCAATCCTAAACTTAACTGCTTTTCAAAAAATACTAAAAATATAGTAGGCAGAAAAATGTAAAATGACAGTTGAGCCGCGTTCGAAGCTGTTGACCTTTGTTTACTTCTGTGTGTTGCTCGGCAACCACTTTGTTGCAACCAGCTAAGGGGGTTTTAGGCACTAACATCGCCCCTTAGCTGTTATAAATTCACTGTAAACCACGGCTTCACGGGGCTTATTGCTTTTATAAAATACATACAATCATGAGATCACGTTGTAGTACATCAGTTAGCGTTAGGAAACAATGAGTAGAAAACAAAGAATAAAATCACATTATATAAGCTAATTAAACAATAATTTGTAAATTATGTGTCAATGAATCAAGGACTCACTATTTGTACAAAACCTATTAATGTATTAACAATGTAGAAACTACAATTTATAAACTATGAATTAACTAAAAACTAATAGTTTGCAAATGATTTATAAGTATTTTATTACTGTGTACTAAGTGTTGCCTGTATGTTTTCCTAGTTAATACAATTTCTGAAAAAAACAACAACATTAAAGATGCTAAGTTTGGATCAGTACTATCAAATATTATGTTCTGTGTTACAGTGAAGACATACAGTATGCTAATCGCACTTTCAAAATATTGACATTGGGCTGTAAAATCGATTAATCACGATTAATCGCATCCAGAATTAACGTTTGTGTTTACATAATATATGTGTGTGTGTATTTATATGTATAAAGACACACACACATATATATGTACATATTTAAGAAATATATGTAATAATATGTGATAATAATAAACAAACTTTTATTTTGGATGCAATTAATCACAATTAATCGATTTTACAGCCCTACATTGACATACTGTAAAACCGGTAGTGATGCGTCTTAATGTGGCAGGTTTGAATATTTTGATTTATTTTAAATATATTTGTTATTTTAAAAGAATTTTAAAATGACATACTAACATGTGTTGTGTCACTGTTGTTATAACACTTATGTTTTGACACATTTCAGTACTCACAGGCTATTTATGCTGTACGATTCTGGTAATGTTTGAGTATGAAACAGTCTGATAATTGAATGAAAGCTGTCTTACGTCACTCAGTTAGGCTAAATCTCTTCTCAGATGGGTTGTTTTGATTTGTGTGCCTCTGTGCAGTTTTGCTTTAGTTGTATTGCTTTTGTTTTCTTTGTTAATTTTGCTTATCCAGAGTGCATGCCTTAGTAGAAGAACCACGCCTTTTGTCCCTAGGGTCCAGGTAACATCGTCAGACTTCTCTCTCTTCCTCTGCTCAGTCTCTTTTTAATCTTTTCTTTCATTTCTGGCAGTCTTTCTCAATCCTTCATTACTCTCGCTCTCTCTCTGTGTGCGTTATTTGGAAAATGCAGTGCAGGAAAACGGCAGCATTCCAAGTTTCTCCCCCTTTGCTCTTTTGTTCAGATTTTATTTTTTCCCCCAAAGTTATACGTCATTGCCCTTGCGATTTATAACCACAATTCATAAGAGCCGTTTCATTATTACAGTATGAATTTTGCTTAATTAATTGGACGGCCGTCTTGCTGAGGCTGAAATATTCTGCATGAATTACTGTATATATACTGTTTTTAATCGTTAATTTTTTTTCCTCGCTTTTTAAATGTGGCATGTTTTTAGCATCGCTTATTAAAGTAAATCTCTTTAAATTTTAAACAGATTTTTTTTTTTGGCAGATATTTTTCATTCTTTGTCATGTAACATGGAACGTTATATTTGTATTATGTTGTATAGGCAATAGTTTGTATGAAATGCATATGTTTTCCTAGTTTAAATTTAGTATGAGAAATTCATGGTTTTATAAGTGTTAATACAAATGAAGCCCGGTTTGGATCAGTGCTATCAAATATTATGTTCTGTGTTACAATGAAGAGATACAGTTTGTTATTTACCACACTTTTGAGATAATATTGCATTTTCCAATGTAGAGAATTTCTCTAAACCTCATAGATAATAAGCAAATTGTACCAAAGACTATTTAGGCAAACCTGTATGGCCTTTTTTCTTATGTGGAATGCAAAAGATTAAAATTGGCAAGATATCATTGACATAAAACCTGCAGTGATTAAAAAAAAATAATTATATATATATATATATATATAGTTTTATATATATAT